ATACTGAAATATACCTGACGACAGACAGTTAAACATTAGGACCAGATAGTCATTATCTGACTGACTTGTATCAGAAAATTGCTGGGATAGGTTCTGGATCATAGATGCCTTCCCAATCCTTATTTCTTTTGTTTTACTCACAGGAAGAATCAGTCATCTTTATTTTTATCTTGACTAACATGAATGATGCATGTATATATACTGGTTCCTGGCTTTATGCCTGGTTACCATAGAAACTGTAGACATTAATACTGATATGTTTCTGTTGAAAATGTATTCCTGTAAACAGATTTGGTAAGGGATAGATCTGCAAGTATAAACTTATTTATTTACATTTAAAATAAACAAATAATACTGTAAACTTCTGTCATAAACAATTTATGTTTATTCTTGTAGGGGGGGGCTGGTGGATGGCCGAATGGTTAGCACATGCGCACTACGCTGTATCATACGGTCTGTCATTGAGTCAACTGGTGGGGTTTCGATTCACCGGTTGTACGTGACAAGGAGTAGGGTCGCCTGTCCAACCTTGTGGGTTTTCTCCGGGTCCTCCGGTTTCCTCCCACTGCTAAAGACCCCTACGCACAAGCCAATTATTGAAATAAAATTAAACCATGTGATAGTCCCGAAATGACCTAGTTTGTGTTGAGTGGACGTTAAACCACATCTCTCTCTCTCTTTATTCTTGTAAAAAGTGATTCACTTTTCTGGGAGGGTCAGATTATGGTTGGATCCTCCCACTCATCAGACATTGGATCCTCTAGTGTCCCTCTATTTACATATTGGATTCTCTTCCACCCCCACCCCCACCCCCACCCCCCCCCTTCGTCTTTACAAAACTTTATGAACTAAAACCTAGGAATCTTCATTCCTCTCCTCCAAACTTTTACAAAACTTCAACAAAACTTCAAAAAGAAAAACCTTGGAATGGATTCAACAAGTTAACAGAGGAACCCAACTTTTTATCAGTGCCAAATTTATTGGATGCCATATCAAGTAATCACAGCAAGTTGATGATTCGCTGGATAAAACAAATAGGGGGCGGATTCCCCTTCTTGAATCGGAAGGGAGGGGCGAATAGGTCTCTGTCCCCCCATGATTTTGAACGCAAGGACAGATTTTCAGGTTTATATCCACATGAATGGCCTTTTCTGAAGGCTATCTAACCACTGCCGTGGGTTTCACCACTGTAATTCATCTTCACGATATCTTCCTAATTGTAGGTAGTCAATTTTACCATATCGTCATCATATTACCCCTAGTTACAGCTTTCATCGAAATAACACTGGTAAACTGTTCGTAATTATTATTTTGGTTTGGTAATGAAAGGTTCCAGGGTTCGTCCGTTCCCCCCCCCCCCCCCAAAAAAAAAGTTATGACAAATCCACGCCTTTGATCTCCATTAAACTTAACAACAACAAGCAACTTGAAAGAACCAAACATTTTATTGGAGCCAAATTTAACAGATGCCATATTAAGTGATCACTATAAGATCTTCTAACACAGCATGTTGATGATTCATTTGATAAAAGAAATGGTTGGAACATAATATCTCCAATATCTTATGTTATTTCTATTTTGAAACATAGTAATTAGATATCCTATGTCATGTAGGTACCATGTGTTGAAGGCCATGGAAGCTTTTAATCATTGTGTCAGAGTGGTTGATAAAATAAACAATCAGCAGTAGAATTGTTGATTTTTGAGTTTAAAACATTTACATAAAATACGAAAAATACATATTAAACTTTAATCATTGAATGCTAAATATATAAATATTCATGAAAGATTCGATGAGGATGTGTCCCTCCGTCTCCTGCCCCGCATCCCCCCTCCTCACCTGAAGTCCCATGTAAAAGATCCTGTAGCAATTTTATTTGAAGGCTAATTGACGAAAACACCACTCCCTAGGCTAAATTCTATTTCTCTAAAATCGCATACATATAGCCACAGAAAATAATAACGTATCAAATGTTAGTCACATGATGACCTAACTATACCATTATACAAGACAGTAAACGCCATTTCTTTCCTTTCCTCCAAGTGTGTTGGGTGGTTGTGTGGTTTCCTCCAGGGGTATTGGGAGGCCGTCATTAAGTCAAGTTCCATGGTTTCGATCCTCACACATGACGAGGAGTAGACAGGGTCGTCTCCTCATTGGATTTCTCCAAGTCCTTCAGTTCCCTCCCACTAAAACAGACCCCTATGGGCAAGCGATTTATTGAGATAAAATTTACCATATATATGTTAGTAAATTTCCCCACCTGCTCTGAGGCTACAAACATCTGCCTGACAGATTACACAACACAGTCTATAATGTTTTATATTTTTTTGCACTTAAATGCATTAATGTTATCAAACAGTAGCTCCATTCAATCTAACCTTTGTTTCTAAGTTTGAAGACATTTAAAAAAAAAAGGGATAATAAAATCACATTTGTGTTCAAGTAGACAGAGAATATAGAAAGCTTCTGATCGCCATTTTTTAAATACTACATATAAAAGAAAGTGATAAGTGCCTTCCGAATTGAATTAAGATAACTTCTGTGACACAAATACCAAGCAGCAAGAAAGATATTTAACATTGGTTGTTTGTATGTAAACAGTTTATGGGACCATGTGTTAACGTAATCACAAATAAGTTTGACATTTAGAGAGTTGAGGACAGCAGTAGCACATACTGTGACAATATTGTGATTATCTGAATAAGTGTATATGTTTTATTTGTTTGCAGGTCAACTTTGACCTTTTTGTTAAACAGTCAAATTGTGCTATTTACATAATATTTACTGTAATATTTATATAAATTGTTGATTTTGTTGTGTACAGATTTTAAGTCTAGAGAAATGATGTGTAACGTCCACTTGAAACAAGCATGGTCATTTTGGGACTAACACATGGGGTCTTTAGCAGTGCGAGGAAACCAGAGGACCCGGAGAAAACCCATGATGTTTGACAGGCAATACTACTCCAAGCAGGGAATCGAAATCACGCCACTTGACTCAATGACAGACCTTGTGATCTAAAGTGAAGGCTTAAACCATTCGGCCACTCAACACCCCTTAATCATTAAAATGAAGTGACATGAAATGGGGTTTAATGTCCTACTGTTCTGCTCCGACTGGGCTAATGAAGACGGGCATACGCCATACAGTGTGCTATGAGGGAAATTCTGATCGGGCAGTGTCACTATGGCCTACTCTTATATCGAATTCCATAAACCAAGGGATCTTTTACATGCATGCCAATGTATACACGGAACCTCAGTTTTTCTTCCCCCCCCCCCCCAACTTACCCCCCCCCCCCCAACTTAACCCCCCCCCCAACTTAACCCCCCGAACGACTAGACAGCTGTCCTTGTCAGGCCCTCCGTCCTGCATCACTGACAGGGGGGAACCACGCTGGAAAATCTGGATGAACTTTCTCGGCCAATGCAGGGATCGAACACCCGACCTCCAGGCTAGCGAGCCAGCGTCTTATCCACTTAGCCAACGTGACCCCTAATAATTAAAAGAAAAGATGAGTAACTAGAGAGTATTACATGTTTCTTTGATTACACTGTCAACATCGTATGGATTACAAAATACAATTTTACATGTGCTTGTAAAATATTGTCATATAAATAAGAACTTGAATGAGCTGTTCCTAATGGCTTGGAATTATGATTGTAATTCTTCCATCATGTGACATTTATGTTCAGTAAAGATTGTGTCTATGTATTTTAATCTGATGTGCTGAATGAGGGAGAGACATGAAATGCGCACATTTTACAAATTAGATAGCCACAAATGTGTTTTGCTGCCATTTCGGCCAGAGTAATGTAGGATATATATATAAAATGTGTGCTTCCTGATATCTGATCTTTGGAAATATGCGACACCCCTGCTGTGGGCATATGTTTCATTGCCTGGCAACTTATCTTTCTCTACAACATCCAATCTTCTCTGTATCTTAATAATATCTTTCTTGTTATATAAATACTTTTATAGCAATATCATAACGTCATAGTAAACATTGAAACTGAATTACTCTAACAGTCACAGTGTTCGATTCCAGTGCTGGCAGAGAAAGCTCATCAGGATTTTCCAACGTGGTTCCCCCTTGTCCTGTGTACACATAAGCATGCACGTAAAGGAGCCCTTGACAGTTGTAATTACAAATAAAAGTAGGCCATAGTGCTGCTGTCTGGGCAACGTTTCCCTCATAGCACACTGTATGGCTTGTAGGGGAAGGTCATATAAGGATCAAAACCCAGCCACTTGACAAGACCTTATAATCTAAAGTGAGTGCGTTAGACCATTCACCTACCCCTGTCCCACTCTTAATTTCAAAGATCAAATAGAAATATATTATATTTAATGAAGAATTCAGCTTTAAATACAGTAAGATTGATAGTTGCAATAATCACCAACTCTCACATTATTTTATATAAAAGACGTTTATTAATTCTCCACCATGGTTAATGTCTTTGTTTGTTTATATCTTATAAATTAAGTGATAATGATATAGTCATGGCAACATCAATAAATACTAAATTTATTATTTTATATAATTATCCTCCCTTCATTTTACATTGCCTCTCTCTTTTAGATATTAGAAAATGAATTTTTCTCTAAAAATTAACGATGAATTATTAAATTTTAATATCCGTGGACATTTCAACGGTATTCATAAAGATTAACTTTAATTTAAGACGTCATCATTGTGTAGTTGTGGCATCAGAGTGGGGGTGCGAGGGGTCACATGAATAATTTTAATGGACTCTAAAGACTGTGATGACCCAACCTAACCAAGCTGTTGATTGGTGGCACCTAAGTGGGGGCAGTGAGGTGTGGCATCACAAACTTGAAATATGGAACAATTTTTGATTGACTAGAACCCCATAGATTGTGATGACCAACCAAAATCAGGTTGTTAATTTGTAGTGCTGGAGTGGGGGCCGGAAACATTCTATTGCATTGATTCATTTCTGGATAATAATTCTCTATCTTTTCTTTTCAGGCGTGTGCTCCACGATATACATATTTTTCTACAACATTTGATAAAAGAGAACCAGTAGGTACATGTTTTGTGGCAAAGGCGTCCACGACAACGTATGAGGAATTTTCACCATGTCGAACAGGTAAGATGAATCGAACAAAATACAACTTGAGCAGACGGACAGATCAATCTGTCAAACTGTCTCGTTGATATCTTGAAGCAAACCAAAATCATTAAAGTCTGTTTCTTATTGTGTATCCTAATCTGTAATTGGTTTATTCAACCAAGACTTCATTGGGGAAAAGATTAGGTTTCTCACATTACTCAGCGAAAGTGCTGTATTTGTGACATCACACTACCCAGTGAAAGTGCTGTATTTTTTACATCACATTACCCAGTGAAAGTGCTGTATTTTTGACATCACATTACCCAGTGAAAGTGCTGTATTTTTGAGATCACACTACTCAGCGGAATTTTCTAACCAACAAATATTTCATTTACCAACTTTACATTCATCATTCAGACAGATCTGTCTGGTGTTTTACCAGAGAACAGAAGATCAACAGTCACTTACTATAAATATATCCCATAATCATATCAGGTTATTTATATACATGTTACCATGTCTGATTTTACAAAAAATAAAACATAGTTTAAGGATGCATTATGTAAGGTTTAAAGAGCTTGTCGTTCTTGCTATAATAGTTCAAGAATAGATAATGAAAAATAAATAAATTGTAAATATCAATCGGATTACTTTATTCTGAGCTAAGTTTTGACTTGTGTAGATAGACTCAATTGTCAAGTATCATTGCAACGATGATAAACAAAGTCGCAACGATCCAGAATGTTATTATCCATTTAATATCTCAGCCGTCCAATTTCCTATAGAAATAATGGGTTGTGAACAAATGTCTAAAAAATAATTTACATAACATTTGAAGACAGAAGCCAGACTTGTAACAGTCAGATTTAGCTATTACATAATGCATCTTTAATAGAAAACTATTCATTGGCAAAGTGATAAATAACACAGATTTTAGCATTCAGCCATTATAGAAATATTAGGTTTTCTGAAATAAGGCACATTTCAAAAACTGGATCACATTAATAAAACTTTTATAAAATTGTTTAAGGTGTGTATTGAAATACGGAAACCTTGGTTCAGTTCAATAATATTGTTTTATCTAATCATTCAGATTTCATAAACTCATTGTTGATTCAATTTAAAATTCATATGTATGAAAAGTTTTGACTGATAATAACACCAATGCCAAATTGTTTGAAAGAGTTAGTTTTCTAATCAAATTAATATTTGACAGACATCATGAGATAATTTGGATACTAAAATTCTTGTCAATTAACTGCTGTGCTAATAATTATAAAACTGTTTTTGACAACACGATTTACTGTTACAGCATGAAAGTAGCATTATGTGATCAGCGAAAGATAATTAAAAAAACAATAACTTTGATTTGGTACTATTTTTGATTTAACAATCTTGAGAAATGAACCATAAATAACAGAACATAATTGACATAAGCCATTAGACGAGACTTAATTGCATCATGAACATAGAGTAATTTAGTGTTTTAAGGCTGACCTGACAATCAAGACTATTTGATCTAATGTTGTAATATTTTCACAGCCATTCTGATCGACCATCTGTCCATTCAAGTATTGTAGCCATTTTTATATGGCCGTATTTATATCGTATGGAAACATTGTCGTCATCCAGGCATGTGGATCTTTCTTTCATAAAGTAAATTAATGTATAATGAAATAATATTAGCTGTGTGAACTTGCTAATAAATGAGAGGTGGTATCAAGTGTTCTAGGAAGAATAAAACATACCATGTCTTATTGTGCAGTATGTTCTGAATCTTGTGCTTCATTTTTTCTCACCAAAAACAGTTTAGCCACATGTGATAACCCAGACAGGCTGTTACAAATATCTTGGAATGAAATTATTTATAATACAATTTGATGGTCAGAATCTGTGAATTAAAAATCAGAAAGTAAGATTCACCGTTGTGTTGACATACATTAATAGAAAACTAAAAATAATCCGTCCATTAATAATCATTTACATATCCGATACTTATAATAATAAAGTTTTCCATACAATTAATACAGTACATATATTATAGTAGAGATAGGTTATTATTAATAAATATAAAAAATTATATCTCAACTTACCATCTAGAATCTAAGAGCAATGTTTAATTCAGAATCAAGAATCTGACTACCATTTAGATATTTAAAATTTAAGAAAATCAGGTGTGGTTTTTGCTGCTAATTTAAATACGAGATTTTTTGAGGGGAGGGGACCGGGCAAATAGTCTACTTAATGTGCACTCAAGTTATTACGTACTGTGAAAGTTTCAAAATGATGCACTTAAAACCTTTTACTACTGGTAGGAATTAAATAGGGCTGTTAAATTCTAGTTGAGTTGAGAAAACATTTTCTTTTCTTCAAAACAAAATAGTACACCTATTATTACATATACATTGTTTAATATAATACATGTAGCCATTTACATAAACACCATGGTATGTTACATCATATAGTTATAATATACCCTGTAATAAACACATGACATCATATAGTTATAATTTACCCTATTATAAACACATGACATCATATAGTTATAATATACCCTATTATAAACACATGACATCATATAGTTATAATATACCCTATTATAAACACATGACATCATATAGTTATAATATACCTTGTAATAAACACATGACATCATATAGTTATAATATACCCTATTATAAACACATAACATCATATAGTTATAATATACCTTGTAATAAACACATGACATCATATAGTTATAATATACCCTGTAATAAACACATGACATCATATAGTTATAATTTACCCTTCAATAAACCATGATACATGACATCATATAGTTATAATATAATCATGTAATAAACAAAGCACTGCACAAATTATACTTATGATGTAGATAGTTATATACATTTACAGTAATGGCTTCGAAAAACTCGGCAAAAAAAATATTTTTAATTCAAATTTAAGTGTGTTAATAATTTCTAGTTTAAATGTATTTTGGCAGATCGGTATTGCCATATAAAGAATTGTTTTGACAGCCATACTATAAACTGTATATTTCTATAATATATCATTGTATTTACTGGTTGCTGTTGTTACGAAGGGTGTGTAGTATTTTACCACAGAGTGACCTATATTTTACACTTGTCATATTTGAATACAATCTGTTTTTGATTCAGAATTTCTTTGTAGGTCCCCACATCACTTGGTACTTTTAACTGGAAACAATGTTGCTATGTACATATAAAAGTTTGTTATCACCTAGTAACATATTGTTGCTATAGTGATATATTGTTGCCATAGTGATATATTAATACAACAGTTTAATACTATTATATAATTCAATAGTGATATATATCTTGATACCCTAGTGATATATTACTATGAATTGTTACAATGCAGAGTAGTGATATATCATATTGTTACTATGGTAGTGCCCTCCACTCCCCCAATTATCCCTAATGAACCTATACCAACAGTATAGTTTAGTTTGATGTAGAGAAATAGATGCATTGAAGGATGATGCTAAAAGCAAAGTATTTAGAAATAGTTTTGTAGAAAAACCAATGGTAAGATGCCAGGAAATTACAACCATAAATGTATCATACACTGAATTCAGAAGGGGAGTTGGGTATGTCACTGAGTCTTAGTGGCGTTGTTTCGATTCCCAGCGTGTATGTAGTGTTGCATGTCCAATCTCTTTGGTTTTCTGCGGGTCCTCCATTTTCGGCCCTCTGCTCAAGAAAGACCCCTACGTAAGTTGATTATTGAAATAAATTGGAACTACGTGTTATTTCCGAAATGACCGGAGTTTGTGTTGACTGGACGTGAAACCCCATTTCACTCTCCCTCTCTCTCTGAATTCAGAATTAAATGTTACATTTATCAAGATAATTATACAATAAACATAAAATTGCTGCCGATGTTATAAAACATCTTTTAAAAAAAAAAAACATTTTCCTTAGAAATTGAAATTTCTTTTGCTTTGAAAATATTGTTAGATTATCATTGGTTTAAAATAAAAAGTCTTAGAAAACTTTTGCTGATGCTTGTAGATTTTAGCCCACCTTAAAACATAGACATAATTCTAGAATTAGATTAGCTTAAAATATAGGATAATTAAGTAATCCCTCACAAACATTGGAAAGATCCAATAAAATGGCCAAAGATATTTCTTTATCAAAAACAGATTGAATATAATATTATTACATTTAAAAACTATTTAGTAAGCTGTGGCTTTAATGCTTTTTGGTCTTTATTGCATGTTTTTGTTTTTTTTAAAATTGAATTTGAAAAGAAAATTTCTCTTGTTTTATGATATTTTTTTTTAAACGTTGTGTTGTTCTTGTCAACTGTTGTCAAATTAGTGTCCACCATATTTCCAATTGTCTATTTTTAAAATCTTTGGCCTTTTCTTTCAAAATTTGTTTATTGTACATTTTATATACGTAAATCTTTTTTTAAAATGTGTTGTCTTCTTTTTTTTTTTTTTTTTTAATTTATTTATACATATTTACATGTTTATACAGACCAAATAGCATGTTTTACTCTATGCCTAGACTACTGAAGACTGTTGGAAAATTTACTTCGGAGTATAAAGTTACTTGCATATCAAAATGGGTGCATGGAAACACCAAGATCTGAGTGGGGTGGGTCACCGAGTTGTCAAGCGATTTAGATTGTTAGGTCTGTCTTTGAGTCAAGTCACATGGTGTCGATGCCAGACTTGAAACACTAACCCCGTGGGTTTTTTCCAGGTCCTCCAGTTTTCTCTGTGGTAAAGACTACTGAGTGCAAGTGAAATATTGAAATAGAATTGGTCCATGTTAGTCATGAATGACCTAGTGGATGTTAAACCCCATTTCTCTCTCTCTCCATCTCTTTAATTCCGTTCAGTAATTACAAAGATATAATGAATTGAAAATTTCACAAGATTCAACATTCTCTGTCAAAAAGATAAACAGTGGCATCTTTAAGTGTTAGTTAAAAATATTTTTGATGCGATGGAATCCAAACCAAGGGATTATCTACCTTTGATCTTTTGGTTTGTTTTTCTTGGTTGAAATAACGAAGAATGTACGAATGTGATTGTGTATAGTTTTCCAACAGTCTTTTTTTAGTATTAATTTTTGTAATGATATATTTATTTATTCTTTGTATAAATCACTTTTTATTTGTTTTATTTTAACGATGTGTCGTGTGTGTATTTTGCTACCCACTAACTTTCACCTCATTTTGCATGGGTTTTATATATAGCTGTAGACCGAAGCTGGGTTTCCGACCAATATCATAAACAGGGTTACTGTCAGGCTGGCATGTCCGCATCATTCGCTGCAGTAAGTCTTCTTTCATCTCATTTCTTGCTGCAGAACTATCATCCCTTTCCAGACGGATTCTAGTTGCAAACAAAAATGGAGGACAAAGTTGTAAATATAAGAGCAATATATTTTTCGCTGCAAAATATAAAAACAAAACAAAAATATTTAAAATGTGGTCAGTATTTTGGGCCTGGACAAAAAAGGAAAAACAAAATTTCTTTCAAATTAAATGTTATGTCAATTAGAATGACAACAGGCAAATGAGAAGGTGTTTTTATTGTGTATAGACAAAAATAAACATAAAAATACACGCTATAATGCATAGTTTGCTTCTAACATAAAACTTCAAGGATTTCTTTACCTCCATTTTTGTTGCTATATATATATATAGAAAGACCGTCTGTTAATGAATGATTGTCATGCAGTATATATATATATATATATATATATATGTTTTACGTAGATGGGGGTTTGTTGTAGTTGCGTCTTGCTAGTAGATCTTGTTTTCCTTTTAGCTGTTTTAATTATATTTTTTTACGGTATTTGGTGTATATTCCCCCCTCATTCCCCCTTTCTCTGCTGCTGGAGGAAGAAATGCTGTGAATGTTTCACCATCATCAATAATCAAAGAATTTAAAATTCAAATGTTTTTAATTCAAGAAACATTCATGTTAATAAAGTGTAATTCTTGTGAAATCTGTTGATGGTGATCGATAATCAAAGAATTTAAAATTCAAATGTTTTTAATTCAAAAACGTTCATGTTAATAAAGTGTAATTCTTGTGAAATCTTTTGATGGTGAACCATATCATATGGCGTACATAGCCGACGATCTGTTACGGTACGCAAATATTTATAAACATTTTGTAGCGGTAGACAGTCGACTACGATTTCGAGACCAGTTTGATCGACAAGGGTATTGTCAAGTTGGACTTGCCGCATCCATTACAAATGTAAGTTTTATTCAGAAATTATATTCCTGAAAATAAAGTCCACAATAATTCCATGATAAATTGAATAAAATGATACATTATTGAAGAACGATATGGGGAGATAAAAAAAAGTGTTTTAGAATGATTGCATTAATTTTGAATAAGAACTAGGTTTTTTAAAAAAATGTTTTTTAATTGGTAAGATGAATAAGCTGTCTACCTCTAAAAGTGATTAATTATTTCAATTTGGTAATATAACAAAAGAATATGCATGAAGATTTGAAATTTCAGAGGATGTTAAGGGCTTATTTTAGTTAAGAAAGGGGGCTATAAATATTTACATACATTTATAGGCTGGTATAAACTATATGAACCGGGATCCGAGCATGACGTCATCTCTGTCATCTTGAAATTGTGGCGTCATATCAAAAATTGAAATCTGTCAATCGATTGTCCAGAGATTAACCATGCACAGTATAATGTCGATCGTATTGAAGTGACGGAGCCTTAGGATTTTTTCGAGGTGCGTCACCCACCCAAGCAGAAAACAGCAAGATGATTACTTCCTGTCCCAAAAGGAAATAATAGGGTTTATAGATATTTAAATACCTGCGACATGATTTGTTATTATACCTTTATCATATGATAATAATATATCTATATCAATGAGTTCTAGCCAAGTGTGTGGTGGTTTTCATAGTAGATTAGATTTTTAGTTTTTGGTTTGAATTTTTTTGATATTTATTTTATTTTAAATTATTTTTTTATTTGATTAGATTTATTTCATGTTTTCCCGGTTTTGGTTTTTAAAAAATGGTTTTGATGTCATTGGTGATGGTTTATATACTATTTATTTTTGTTTTTTTATCAATTTTTTTTGTGGTGTGGTTTTGTGGTCAAATTGTCTTTAAGCGTCCATTTCCGTGAATTTTGTGATATCATATGATGGTATACATTTGTACTGTATGAAAGTATGTCTGTGACATAAAATCTTAATCACTGCTGTCTGCCATTTTGAAATGTTTTGACTTTTGAATGAATGCACACTACCAAACGGGAGTAAATGAAATTATGCGTTTTAAAATTTGTATATTTTAAGGCAAATGTCTGTTTCAGTGTGTTTTATTTTAGTCAACGTTTTGCATGAAATTTGTATGAACCAGCATTATGTTATTTTAAAAAAAACACAAAACAAATTTTACATATTAACACAGGTTTCTGTTGAAAATATAATTTTTTAATTAAACTAGAAAAATAGTACTAAACACTAAGACTTCACTATAATAGCGCCATTCATTGTCCGAACAGCACCTTTAGTGAAGTAGTGAAGTCATTGTGTATAGTGCGGCGTATTGCCACTGCAGTCACGATACGATACATATTGCGATTCAGGTATTGCAATACGTATTGTGATTCAGGTGCTATGATACGATTCATATCACGATTCATAACCAGGTCAATATTTACCAGGAAAACAACAGGGTAAATGAATAATTGATATTTTTGGTTCCGCCGATGTCAGGGAAATAAAACTGTGGATCAAAATAAGGACAAAAACAATTTAAGAGTGTTTGTGTATCTATGGATAATGTGTGACGTGGATAATTAAGAGTGATAGGTTACAACGCTAGTTGTGTATAATATACATGTATAGGGGGTCCGGTTATAACACTGGTGTACACGTGTAAGCTGATACTGTTGACTAATAAAGCCAGGCCTTTTAGTAATGACAATTTTTGTCATGAAATCATATAAGTGGTCAGTATTCTAAACTAATGTTTAGTATGTATAGAAAGTGGTTAGAAATTATACAGTTGTCATTAATAAGCAAGTGTGTAACTAGCTGTAAAAATGTGACTATTTATAACACCCATCACTATTGAATACACAAACCTAACCAATAGTGGTGTATATCATTCAATAGTCACAGTTTTAACACCTTAGTGACATAACACCTCTTAATGACTACTGCCTGATTACTAACAATTTTAACTAACTAATACACATTATGTATATAAACTGATGACTTTGATCTATTAGTGTCGTATATTTTCATTTATAACAGTTATATTTATTACTTAGTCAACGATATCAACCTTACAGTGGTAGTCAGTGGATTCTAAAATCAGCAAATATAAGGGTCTTATGTTGGCAGTACTATATACCGGAAAACACCAAAAAACACCGGAAAACAACTGGAAAACACCATTTTACACTGAATACCGGAAAACACCGGAAAAACACTAAATACCGGAAAACATCCTAAATACCGGAAAACACCCTAAATAGGTAACCCGGAGCCTGGTCCTCTGTGTGCGGTTTTGGACCAAGTAATGCTGGCATCAGGGTGGTATGAATTAGTGGAAGGCACTATTCAGTTTAAAATGGTGTTTTCCGGTGTTTTCCAGTGTTTTCCAGTATATAGTACGGCCCTCTTATGTCGTGGGGACTAAGAAGGAGTCTGCAAGTATGTTTGGCTCGGGGGACCCTAAAGAAGTTTTAAAAAGTTCTCACATAGTTTGTGGACCCTTTTTTGGTTGTAAATTTATGTTGTTAATGAATTAGTAAAATTGAGGCGAGGATCAGGGGTCTAGAGCCCCCAATCCTTCCCTCTCTTACAGTAGTACAGGACACAGGTATAGTCATTGGACCCCAAATAATACTGGGCTACATAATGACACCCTATTGTATAAATAATACTGGGCTACATAATAACACCCTATTGTATATATATATATGTTTTGTGTATAGATGTTAGATATTAAAATAATTACAGGAGTAGATAGATACATATCTAATTAATGCTCATTACAGTTCATCCTCCAGCATACAAAACATCTCATCATTAAAAGTACATAATCATCCGTCATACAAAACCCTTATATGTCACAGAACAACTTGTCACATCCTTTCATCAGTAATTAGTAGCAATATTTTTTCTGTTTCAGATTGATTATAATGCACATCTTTTATGTAATTAATACATGTTTCATTTGATGTATATTTCACCATCAATCAGTATTCTTAGATATATGTTATTCTTGCTATATTTATAGTAGAATATTGCATGAACCTAATCACAAGACTTTACACAATCCTCAATTTACCACCCACTTACTTAAAAAAGAACAGTACTAAATTTCTTCTTTCCTCTGATGAAAACCGTGAACATTTTCCCTTAAGCACCGCACCATTCCTTTTAAGCTCAGATCTATCCCCTTACTCTCGTTTAAATATGGGGGGTTTGATGGCCGAATGATTAGCATGTGCGCGCTATATCATAAAGCCTGTCATTGAGTCAACTAGCGTGGTTTCGAGTCCACGGTTGTATGTGACAAGGAGTAGTGTCGCCTGTCCAACCTCATGGGTTTTCTCCGGGTCCTCCGGTTTCCTCCCACTGCTAAAGACCCCTACGTGCAAGCGAATTATTGAAATAAAATTAAACCATATGTTAGTCCCGAAATGACCTAGTTTGTGTCGAGTGGACGTTAAACCCCATTTCTCTCTCTCTCTCTCTCTCTCTCTTTTAAATATTTCTTCAATATTGTTGATCCTTACCTCAGTATATTCCCCCACTCCTTCTTAAATCACAATTGATCCTTACCTCGGTATATTCTCCCACTCCTTCATAAATCACAATTTGACTAATTGAATTCTTATTTAAAAAATAAACAAACTTATAAATTTTAGGTAATGAAACTCCTAGTGAAATTTTCAAAAAAATAAAGAAATTTATCAATTTTAGGAAATGGAATACCTAATCTTTATTTTAAAAAAATAAACAAGCTTATAGATTTGAGTAAATTTACTACCTTCCCAATTGGTGAATCTATAATCGGGGTAATTTTTCCCTGTATGATTATATCAATAAGTGTTTTAAGGTTTGATGCCCTCCTTCACAATTATCCTCAATGGGTTTATTATTCCATTGAATCGATGCCATTTTTTTCTACAATGATTATTGTACGGTTATCAAATGGAACTTTAACGACCCCTAAAGTTTAAATAACACAATAACCAGGCATAACAACCATTGGTAATGGATGGCTTGAAGAACACTAATGACTATAATGATCCTCATCTAGAAATATTGACTGGATAATCGATCTATAGAGTTGTCTTCAAGACACTTTAATCTTTACTCTGAAGCCACGGAGACTGGAATCGAGCGTCAAACCAATTAATCTGTCTACCGAAGGTTTAACTTACAAAATTATCTATTTTTTTTTATGTTCCATATTTTTAGATTAATAATCTTGACAGACAAATGCTATGTCTCCGTTTTATGTAATACTCCCATACACTTCAACAAGACTTGATGTCTCTGTCTGAACTGGTCTGGTAGAGATATGTCGAGGAAGTGTCACACTCTATTCTCGTTCTTTCCTGAATGTAATGCCCCACTCTGATCTAACGCTATCTATCAACAATAGTCATCTTCTGTCCAACACACCTACCTTCTTTACAACAATAAATTGGTCCTTTGGTTCTACACCCACTCTTTTCCCACTGTGTTCTTCAATTACTCTGTTGCACACCCACCTTTTCTACATCCTCTGTTTCCTCCATCTACTCTGTTGCACACCCAACCTGTTGCACAGCCACTCTGTTGCACAGCCACTCTGTTGCACACCCATTGTGTTATCCATCCACTCTGTTGCACACCTACCCTGTTGCACACCAATTGCGTTCCACCACACCCATACTGTTCTCGACCCACTCTGTTTCACACCCACTCAAATTATTTCGCAACCAACTTGTTACGATACACACATGCAGCAACAATGCTACTGGTACTGTTTTATACGTTTGTCATCAGGCCCAGTATTAAGTGACTATAGTCATTTTGATCACGGCCTAGTAGACACAGGCATATAAATCTTATATACATGTAGTTGTCATATCTGGTGAAACTGGGATTCCAATCTGTCTGTTAAATGTAGTAGATGTAAATGTTACATGTTTTGTGATTGTTTTTGTTTTGTATGTTGCTACATGAAGCTTCATTAACTACCAGCTTT